AAACAGTGATTCTTTACGTACAGATTGTTGTGGAAGAAGAATTATATCTTTACAACCGGATTTTCTGGCTCAAAAATTAGGTTTAATTGAAATGATTGAAAATTCCGGTCACATCTGTATTTTTTTACCAAAATTTCATTGCGAATTGAACTTTATTGAATGTTATTGGGGAGCGGCCAAATGATATGCAAGAAATAACTGTAATTATACATGGAGCGGATTACAAGAAACAGTTCCTTGTGCTCTTGATTCTGTTGATTTAATAACAATTCGTAGATTTGCACGAAAAACATGGCGATATATGGATTTGTACAGACATGGAATTACAGGTAAGTTAGCAGAATATGCTGCTAAAAAATATAAATCGCACAGAAGAATCCCTGAAGATGCATGGGATGAATTACGAACAAATTAATTCAATCAACTTTTTAAACCAGAAATTCAAAGAAATGTAAGTGCACGGTATATGATATAAATAAGTATATGCTGTTCAATTAATAATATTAAAATCGAATTTTACTTTATTCAAAATTTTTAGGTGATAGTGGAAGCACAGGAATAGCCAAAGACGGGTTAAAATTTTGTCTTGGCTATCATATTGTCATAAGGTCAAGTATAGCGGGCATACTCTACAATTTTGAAAGTGGCGACATATTTTTTAAATGAGAGGTAAAGGTTGACGGGTCAGAACAGAGCATGGGACTTTTTGACCAACTTTTTGGGATGATGGGTATGATTGGTGGATACCAAATTTATTAAGGATGATAAGATTGGCGGCGAGAGAATGATTAAAAAAACAAATTCAACCCGACTTTAACCAAATGGTAGATGCTGACTGCTACAAGAAACAAACAGGACTTAAAGGAGATAGTGCCAAATCACAAACCGATAAATCACAAGCACAGGCGGAGGAGCAAACCAAAAGGCAAAAAGCATCAACCGCAAAAGCACTTTATAGAGCCATAGAACCAAGTATTTTTTATTCTAATACTATTTCTATGTCTTATTCTTTCTTTGAATTTGCCAACAGGACAATTAATAATCCGTTCATGTTTAGGAACGAAATTAAAAAGTCGATAAAAAATAATGGAAGTTGGAGAAAAGACGAAAAATGGAAAGAAAAGAAAGAGATCCAATAAAAAGAAGACGCAAGGACAACAAAAACTCGATCTGGATAGCACACAAAAAATGGAAAGAAAAGAAAGAGATCCAATAAAAAGAAGACGCAAGGACAACAACAACTTGATCCGGATAGCACACAAAAAATGGAAAGAAAAGAAAGAGATCCAATAAAAAGAAGACGCAAGGACAACAACAACTCGATCTGGATAGTATACAAAAAATGGAGGTTGATGATTTAGATAGTTCGAAAGTTCCAGAAAAAAATATAACTTCTTTATCTCAAGACAATTCGGAGAATTCGAAGATAGAAGAAGTCGAACTCACTTCTGACCACGATAATAAAACAGTTGATCCTGAGGAAGAAACAGGAAATAAGAGTAAAAAACAAAAACTCGACGATTCTATAGTAGGCGACTACTCTAACAAAGTATCACAGATTGAAACTTATGGTATGGATCAACTTCGCGTTAATTTATCGAATTAAGATTTTGTCAAGGCAATTCAATTTATGGTTTTATCGACAGATATGGCCACGGATATCAATTACGATTTCGAATCATTGGAGATTTCAGAACCTACCAGAAAAGCTATTAAGGAGGTGGGATTCGAAAAAATGACAGAAGTTCAAGCAAGGACGATACCACTGGTCATGATGTTCTAGGCGCTGCTAAAACTGGATCGGGTAACGTATGGTCTTTTGCTTGTACTGCCATGTCGTCGTTAGTGATTTATACCTATGTTGACAATATTAGGTAAAACTCTGGCATTTTTGATACCGGCAATTGAACTTCTTCACAGTCAAACATTTGGCATAGTAATACTAGACAAGCGGAGGTTCAAAAATTAAACAAGGGCATCAATCTGTTGATCGCCACACCAGGACCATCTTTAGGTAACTTTGTTCATTTATTGAATAATTTATTCAACTATTGTTAATGTGTATTTATAACGTAATAGAATACCAAGGGGTTTATATACAAAAACCTCCAGTTAAAGCAAATATTGGCCGAGGGGGATTGAGCGGGTGAAGTGGAATTATTTGACTTTCCACACCGAGAAGGATTTTTGAAAGAATATTAGCCAGCACAACATTTTATAAGTGAAATAAAGAAAATCTTGGATTAGAGCATAATCATCAATACCCTCTTTTTTTCAAAAATATTTTGCCATGGACAAATTATTTAAATTTAGTAATTTTCAAAATAAAATTTGATCGATGAAAACCGCAAATCCTTATTGTGATTTCAGAGCATTTTATTGGGCGAATGTCATGTGATTGTTAATGATCTGCAGAACGAAAATTTTGGACTGTTTGGTCTTTAGATGAAACGCACCATAGGTTATTACAATTCTTACCAATATTAAACCACAAATCAAAAAAAGTTGCTATGGATTTCATTATCCAATTACTTTTTACTAAGAAATGATATAATGTCATTATTATATTTATTAATTATCTAATCAAGAAAGTTTACTTTTATTTAATATATATTTCTGCCACCACTTCAAAAATTGTCAAGATTTTTTTTTTTTAAATTTTTAAATACTATGGATTATCAAGAACCATTGTGTCAGATAGAAACTCTAAATTCATTAGTTATTTTTGGCAAGTCCTAAGGCTCTTAATGGTATTATTTTAATATCAATTTAATACTTAAATTTATTATTCCTTAAACTGTATTGTAGGCAAATTTGCTTATAATTTTTTTTGTCAACAAAATCATTTTATATTTCCTGATACATGTTATTTTTTAATCATGTATTTTTTCAGTATGTATTTTAGCTTATTTAAATCTTCAGGACAATGTTAATTTTTTTTATTAATGATCAAAGTTATATATGTGATAGAAATTGGTAGATCCTTGATGCAATTGATGCAATTATTTGATGTAATTAATTGAGTCACTATTAAAACATATAAAATAATTGAGTCAGATGCAATTATTTTTAAGGATTTTGGCAATTGAATCAATAGCAAAATAATTTATATTATATGTATAATCAAAGTACAAATAACATAATAATATTCTTCTCAAAAATATATTACAAAAATAAGTATCAAAATTTGTCAAAAATTGGCCTACAGATTAAGGAATAGATTGATATTATTTCAATACCATTTTAATATTAGTTTAGTACTTTTTGAAGCTTTAACAAGCTTTATTTTAATAATTGGATATAAAGACTATTATATTAACAACATTTCACTTTCAAACAGATAAACAAATAAAATATATAATATTTTATATTAAAGATAATATAAACAAGGTATTTTTTTTTTTTTTTTTTTTTTATAGTAGAATGGTATTAGATGCAGGGATTTTATTGAGATAATTATCAATTACATATACATCAAACATCATCTATTGCTATTACAACAGCTAAATGCTAGCCTATCTACTTATTACCCCAGCGATACTAGTAACACTTATAAAGTAGGTTCATATTTTTGGAGGGGACCTAACTAGGGGGTGGAAGTCCTACCACTAGTTTAAACCACCTAACCTACCAGTCCAATTTGTGAGAGCAGTCAATATTGCTAACTATTTCCTAAGGTTACTTATCACATTACATCTCTTCACACCTACATCCTGTAGCAGAGGAGGCCTTGACACCATATACTTGCACTTCCTAATGAATGTTCCGGCTTTTGATCTGCTGGTTGGCGCTGGCTGCCAAATCTAGGGGCTCTTGTGGCCAAGTGGAGCGCAACTCCTAAGGACCGTAGCCCTTTATCTCCTAGTAGACACTCCAGTTTGGAACCAGTTGGTGTTGGCTGCCAAATATAGGGGCATAAATGCCAAGCAGGGCACAACTCCTACAAGTAGTGATGGTTGTGGTATGTTATATTCCATAAGACTTTAGTGTTATTTTAGTGCTTTCTTCAAAGCTTCCTTATTCGCTAGTTAGCAGGGGGAGGGGGGAAAGGGAGTGGCAGATTGGGATTGATTAAGATGAAGTACAGCCCAGTCTGTGTATTTAAATAAATAATTGTAGTTGGTAGTTAATAAGGATTAGATAAGATGGAGTACAGTCCAGTCTGTATATCCAAATATGTGATGACACCTCTTGTTTGATAACCATCGTAACACCAGCCAGATGATCATCACACCACTTCACCTTAACGGGAAGATTACAATCTCAATGTCTACTGAATCAGCATATGAAATGGCTTCTTATGAGAAACAGCACATAACTGGTTATGGTATCAGATACCATATCAATCTATTCAATCACCTTTACATGGAATTGAACTGGTATCTATAAACAAGGTATTTTTTATAATTAATAAAAGAAAACTTTATTTATTAAAAAAAAGCTAAATGACTCTATTATTTTTCAAAGAAAAAATAACTTTTTTAAATACAGTACATGTTTTTTCAATATAAATAAATATAATAAAAATACATAGTTAAAAATATATATATAATATTATTTGTTCTCTGAAGAGACCTGTAGGTCTATAGCACAGTGGTTAGTGCTCCACAGGTCAGATCACAAGATACCAGTTCAATTCCATGTGAAGGTGATTGAATAGAATTAATATAATATCTGGTGCCATAATCTACCAAAAGCGCTGTTTCTTATAAGAAGCCAGTTTCACATGCTAATCCAGCAGGCGTTAAGATTGTGATCTCTATAAAAGGTGTCGTGGCGCGACGATCGTCCAGTTGGTTTACTGGTTTGTCTAAGTATAATTCTTTTGATATTTGTTGTTTTACTGGTTTAAATTTTTTATATAGAGGATTATATCTTATTATTTTGTCTTTAAGCATTTGTTGTTATTCTTAATATTTTGCTTTGATTATATATAGTGCTGTCAGATGATCTGCTATACTATATATTGTGCAAAGTTATTTTTCCATCTTATACTATTGAAAGATGTTTTTCAAAATATATCTTCTTGTTTCTGACTTGTTCTTTTGTTTTTACTAATACAAAATTGAAGATAGTAAAATGTTTTTTATATAGTTATAGTTGTATGAAATATGGTAAGATGCTGTTTTGATTTTGTTAATTATTTCTCTTAAGTTATAAGCAGTTATACTTGGGAGAAGTTTTGCTAGTTTTAAGATATGTTTGTTTCATAATTATTTGATTTTATATGTTTTCAAAAATAGATATATTTTGAGAAGTTCTATTTGAAATGAAATATTTAATCTTGTGCTAATTTTATTGTAATCTTTTTATTTTTTAAATTCAGCTATTACACTCTGCCATATTTTTGCAGTATACATTTTTAGGCTTTTAATTTATCCAAATTGAATAAGTTTTTATTTGATTTCTTGTTTATTGATATTAAAAAAGATGTTTTAAATGCAAATTGATTTATTTTATAGCCTTTGCTAGGTCTATATCGACTAGTATAGCCATATGGTAATCATTATCTTATTGGATTAACACTTTACATGCTTTTTAGATATCATTATTATTTATAAAAGAGATGATAATCAGCTTGGCCCCCTGTTGCTATACTATCCAGGTACCTATATAGAAGTCAAAATAAGAGACTATTTCTTTGATTGAGTTAAGTTTATTCTTTATAATACCTATTAAATTATTTATCTGGATAGCTGTTCTATAGTAAAAATAGCCATATTAGATATGCCAGTCTGTTGGCAAGATGAATAGCTGTCTAGTTGGTCTGGGTAATTGGGTATTGATAGATAAAAGATTCTCTGCTTCACTTTCTGGCTTTATGAGTAACAAGTCTTCATTTGACTTACTGAAAATAAATAGGATAGATGTCTACTGTAGTTTCTTTATATTTATTTGAACATCCCTACTTAGTCAAAAGTATTATCCACTCTTTTTTTTGTTATAGCTAACCAGCCAGATATCTTGTTACCATTTGCTTCAAGTATTGTTAATTGCTGTTTTTGCTTAAGTATTTGTTATATTTTAGATACCTGATACTGCTTGTAAGTGGAGACAGATGAACTCTTACTTCAAATTATGCATTGCCATAATAGATAAGGTCTTTGATGAACTTTAGCTGTTTACTACAGATTTTAGATAAATCTGGATAAATAGGAAAAAGTTATTTTTTTAAAAAAAAAGTTTAAAATAATTAATATTATGTAATAATAGCTTAATGAACTTATTTTTATAATGAAATAGTTAATAAATATTTAAATTATATAGACAATATAGTGATCTTAATATTAAGAATTTAAGGATTATATATAGAGGGTGATCATAGGTATCGGAACGATTGGATAGTGATTAATTAATTGATGATTTTTTATATATAAAAAAAATTTTTTTAAAAAAACTTTTTTCTTTTCTTTTTCTTTATTTATTTAAAATATCAATACTTTGTTGTGCCACCTTGGACCTCGATACATGCTTGAATTCGATGGGGCATACTTTCAATTAATTTATGGATATAATCAAGTGAAATTGAATGCCACGTGGTTTTTACTTTGCACTCTAAATCATCAATATTTTTTGGCTGGTTACATACGTTACATACCTTCCTATCAACCTTGTTTCAAAGGTTCTCGATCAGATTAAGATCGGGGCTTTGTGCAGGCCAGGATAATACGGAAATATCTGCCAACTTACGAAAATTAGTGGCAATTTTTGCATGATGGAGAGAGGCATTATTCTTTTGAAGAGTCCCCCTACAACCAACCAACCTATGCTATAAAGGGATAGCATGCTTCTGTAATACTTTAGAATATACTTTTCCCATTATAGATTCATGAATCGGAACGAGTGGCCTAGCCCACTTCACGAAAAGCACCCCCAGAACATTTGGATAGGACTGTGCCTCACCGTAGACTCAGACAAGAAGTGTTGAATTCTTCCTCCGGTATTCGCCACACACAAAAGCTGTGACCCTGCGAGAACTGACTGAATGTAAACTTATTAGACCACATGATTTTTCGCCACTTTGCAATTGACCAGTTTTGTTGCTCCAGTATCCAAGCTAACCGTTTTTCTTGATTTTTTTCTGAGATTAGTAATTTGGTATGGGCAATACAAGAGCGCAAACCAATTTTTTTGAGAATACGTCGAATTG